AGAGAGAGACGAATTGTCACGCTGGTAGTGACACACTCTGTGTGAAATCTCTCGTCTCGACGCGCAAACGATGCCGTTCGACAACGGAAACTGAGCGAAACGATTGTCTCGCGCGGGATATCGATGTTCCCACGTCGGGGAGGATTCGGTCGGGCGCTGTATTAAATGTAAAAGTACGCGCGTGCGACTCTCTGGCTGGCTGGCGAGATTCAAAGTGAGTCGACGCGACGCGACGCGACACGACGCGATTTCAAAGGTGCGCCACGGTCGGCAGGCACACACGGAGTGTCCAGTGCCACGAGGAGCTCCGACAACGGCTCGTCGACAGAGAGACGTTCATCTGGAGACGAGTGAGTCGCAACAACACACACACACACACACATACACACATACACACACACATACACACGCACACATATACACACAGAGTCGAGAGAGTCTCGGTTGTTGGATGCTGGTCGCGCTGCAGCGAGAGGATCTCGAGGAGAGACCGAGCGGCAAAAAAGGAGCGACTCGATCCGTCCGTTGCCTGCCTCGTCCGCAAGTTTCTCTCTCGCGTGTCGAAACCGCCCGAGTGGAATCGTCGGGTTTGTAAGAAGGTGGTCGCCGACCAGACGATCGAACGAAACGTACGTCGGTGGCTAAGGGAGAGCTTGCACTTGGGAAGGAAAGAAGAAGAAGAAGAACAAGAAGAGGAGGAGGAGGAGGAGGAGGAAGAAGAAGAAGAAGAAGAGAAAGAAAAAAAGGTGAATTGGTGAATCGTCCCTTGGAAGAGGGAAGTATTCGACAATCTTATCGTCGTCTATCCGTTTGGAATTTCCATCGTCACGGTGCAGAGGGCCGTGCGCGCGCTCCTCCGCGCGCGCGCGCGCGAGCTCTCACGCGCGGATCCTGGTGCGCGTTACCATTTATCAAGGGTAGCCCCCCATAACCTTACTTTGCCACCGAGAAACCTGTGAAGAATCCTGACTGCCTCGAACGAGAAAGGAAAAGAAAGAAAGAAAGAAAAAAAAAAACACGGGACGTGTTTCCTGCAGCAGAGATTTAGCTGGCTTGTTCCTTTCGCGTTCAGACGATATCGAGACGAGTGCGGAGTAGAAAATAAGTAAGAAAACTGCAAGGTTCGAGGGTGTGAAGGAGATCGAGCGAGAGTCGGGACAACAGTGGTGGTGTTTCTCGGGAGAAGGGACAGAGCTAGTTAGCTAGCTAGCTAGCTAGATAAATAGATAGACAGATAGACAGATAGATAGATCGTGAGATAGTGAGAGAGATAGACAGAGTGTGCGTGCGTGCGTGCGTGTGTGTGTGAGTGAGTGAAGGAGAGGAGGGGGATAGATAGATAGATAGAGAGAGAGAGAGAAAAGCACAACGAGGTCAAGGAGGAAAGGTTAGGTAAGAGTACTCGCGGAAGGTGGATACTCGGCAGGCTGCTGGCAAACTTGCTTGGGGTGTGTCCATGAAGCGGACGCAATGGCAACGAGCGAACGAAACGACGTCGTCGTCGGTGCCGCGTAGGTCGTCAACGACAACGGCAACAACAACAACAACAACAACAACAACAACAACAACAACGTGGTGGCCGTCAGAATCGTCGTTGGAGTCGCGGTGGGACGCGGTGGCGTTTGATCGGCAAGCGTGATCGTCCGCTTGATAAACGAAGGACGGCGGGGGGGTGGGGAGCAGAAGGAAAAGGGAGAATAAACGCCGGGCGTTTAGGATGCAGCATGAACCTCGGTGTCCCGTATCGGGAGTTGGTGAGCCTCGGAAGGGGGACTACGGTGTCCAGGTGCTTTCGCCGGTCGAGAGATCTTCGCAGGTCTCCGTTGTCCTCGAAACGGGCGGCAGTATCGCCGGCGTCGTCGCCGCCGCCGCTGCCGTCGTCACTGCCGTCGCCACTGCCGTTGTCGTCGCCGTCAACATTGCTGGCGCAGCAACAATCACAACAACAACAGCGACAACGACACCACCGACACCACCACCACC